ATAAAGCAAATGTTTTCCCACACAGATGTTCTCGTTGTTTCATCCTACGGGCCCTGAATTCCAAGAAGCCAAGTTGAATAAACTAGGCGATGTTCCTGCTCACCCACTGGAACTCCAAGAATGATGATGTCAAGCGGCAACATAAGTGTGGAATGGGCTATCCTCCCTCCTTCCATTAATGTCGCCACGATTCCCTAAGAGGTGATGGCAAAAGCAACTTCTCCCTGAGCCCTGATTTTGGCAACAATTAAATTAGTTAAAAATGTTTTCCCTGTGCCCCCAGAAGCGTAATTTCTAATGTTGGATATTCCCCCTTACCAGAGGGAGCCCCCTTGTGGAATACTGTGAAGCCATTACCAGGGCAACTCCACTGTGCTGTACAGTAGAAGTCATTTTAGGGCAGGACAGTAGAAGCCATTTGAAGGCACAACAGGCTGTATCTTAAGAGAACACCCACCCACCCCAATGGATGTTAGGGGTGTCTTACCTCCACAGTATTTGTTTCCAGAGAGTAAGTCATCTGTGTACCAAGTTTAGTTGAAATTGCTCGAGGCGTTCCAGAATTATGCTGGAACGTACACATACACACACACAATGTATGTATGTATGTATGTATGTATGTANTACTTCTAAAAATGTTTCCAAGAAAATTTTATGGACTTGTCCGGGCAATTGCTAGGAGTAAAGATTGACTAAAAGCGTCCCTCCCAAAAAAGAAGGGGCAGGAAACCCTTCAGCCCTTCCTTCTACTTTTGATTTTCTTTTCCTCAGTGAAGATATTTTTATTTGTCTCTGTTAAACATTATTCAGGTAATCTGACAACTTCTGATATGGAGAGATTTGCATTTATCCACTTAAATACATACAGAAGTATTTGTAACATGGCTGGATTGCCAACAGGGAAGAAGTTGCTACGGATTTGTGTGTCTTCAAGTCTAAGCTTGATTTGCATCATGTTATGCAGTGATTATGTAACATATTTAACCTGGTTCCTGAATCAATTTTCTAAGGAATAAAGAACTTATACCATCAACTTACAATTTTTACATTTGTAAAAACAATTTGAATTGACTACGGCCTTCAAAAAGTCAGCCACAACCTAAATTTGAACTTATGACTGTCACTTCACCCCCACAGTCATGTGATCACAACTTGGGTCAGTTGTACCATTTCATGGTCCCACAAAAAAACACCATTGGATAATCTGGGTTCACACTTATGACCGATTTTACTTTTGACCATTAAAAATGGTAGTAAAATTGGCTCTGGTCACAGACTTCACAGGTAGGATTGTAAAATGAATTCTGATAAAAGCATATCCCAAATTCTTTCACATGGGTGGGAAATAAATGGCTTTTCAGATGCCACTGAACCAGAAGTACCAGAATCTTTCACTATGCATGTAACTCAGCAACATAGTAAGGCCATTGGTTCCTGTCTTTTTTAGGTCAGTTCTTTGTGCTAATTGTACAGCAATCTCTTAAATCAGATGAAGATGTTGGGGTTGCATTCACATTCCTCCCAATTATTATGCTACTTCTCTAGCAGGCAAAGGACTGTTGGCTTATACTTGAAGGTTGGATACATTGGCCTACAAATCCCAGAATGCCTCACCATGCATTGTAGACCAACAAAACTGGAGACTCCCAGGTAGGACAATGTTGGGTGACGGTTTTAATCAAGTTTCTAGTCGATATCAGCATGTGGATAATGCTGAGATGAATTAGTCTTCACAACCAAAATTGGGCCTGACAACTCTGTCATTAAATGACACAATCATTGCGCAAGATACCACATAAGCACAATCGCCTTACCTCACTTCCATTGCAATGGTTAAGGGAATCACCCATGGTTGTTAAGCAAGACACGTAACCACAACTTGCAATTTTACTGCCAGCTTCTCCATTCTGCTTGTAAAAAGTCAGCTGTGAGAGGCATCAATGGCAATCATCACCCCAGGACACTATGACAGTCATTAAACACCACCGGTTCTGAAGTGCTGGAATCACGACTGTGGGGATGCTGCAGTTGTTAAGTGTGAGGGCTAGTCATAAACATGCTTTTTCAGTACCAGAATAATTTCAAACCACCACTAAACACAGGGCAGTTGTTAAGCAAGGATTACCTGTACAGTTCAATATTTTTACATTCACAATACAGGACATCTTTAAAAAATAATAATAACTACAGAGAAAGCAGAGATACTAAAAAGAGGAGAAAGAGGCCAGAAGATGGAAGGACTGCTGGAGGAAATGAGGCATGGATAGGCTAGCTAACTCCTTTAAACAGAAGGAAGAAATTAACCAATCAGCCTGTAAATGATTAGCACAAGGAAAAAATACTTGTCACAAGCTGCCTCCTTGTGTTCATCCACAGGGAGAATGCTAGGCGGTTTCATGAGAAGGGAAATTAGGGGTTGAAGACAAATTTCACCTACTTAGCTTCTGTTGATTACAGAGTCCATAGCCAGGAATACCTGCACTTTGACACAGTATTGTATTATTCTCTAAAACCTTACAATCTCACATGACTTCTGTTGCAATTTTCTGAGCTCACATCCTGTTTACTGGCTCCTGTTTGCTCATGCATATTCTCTGGCCTTTACTACACCTCCTTGCCTTCCTTCGCACAAGGGATCATTTCTTGCCCTTTGCAGCGATTCCTTCCTACATACAATAAAATTATGCATCTGCTAATATTTGTTTATATTCCCTGTTTTTCCAAGGCATTTGTTTTCATGAAAGACTATCTGAACCTAAGTAATATGAAGAACAATTTCTTCTGAGTCAAACCACTAGTCTATTTTAGGGCAGTGTTAATTATAGTTGCTCGTACCAGGTCTTCTGTGTTTCAGAAAATGAAACTTTTATCTAAACTTTTCTTGAAATCTTGTAGATTCAAATGGCTATTATTTGCATACAAAACAGATTTTGAAGCTTCTTCGTCAATCCCAACCTCCCAGTTTATCTAGTAAAGATTTAATAGGCATAGGCCAAGGTGTAATTAATATTATTCTCCTGAGCCAACTGATGTTCAAACTTCGGTTGATTTCTGAGATATATAAAATTCTTTCTTAGGCCCACCCTGTCAAAGAAATACTATTTTTTAAAAACAATTCCATAGTAAAGCTATTCCAATACAACTATCTTTTCATAACACAAACATCTAATAATGAACTGTGTTGATTTGACTGACAAATCATAACTTTAATTCCTGCACACCATACTAGAAAAGTTCCCATATCAAATGTCTGAATGATATAAAAAGTTTGCAAGCCCAAACAGATATTTCTACTCGCCAATTGAGAGAGTTTCATCCAGCAGCAAAAGTTAAAAGTATTTGCAAGTTAAGTGTGTTAGAAAATTTGTGTGTCACTTGTAAACGTTGTATGAGTTTGGCAGCCATTTAACTTTGCAAATAAATAAATATATTTGTTTCTTATACTACTAATGAAATCATAACTGAAAATGGAGGCATCTATATAGTTCTGTAAAGGAAATTCAACAAATATACATTTCTTTATTAGCATGTTAACAGTATCTTTTTCTTTTCGTATCTTTTGACATAGTGGTTAAGGCATCAGGCTAGAAACTAGGAGATGGTGAATTCTAGTCCCACTTTAGGCATGAAGGTAGCTGTGTGATTTTGAGCCAGTCACTCTCTCAGCCCTAGGAAGGAGACAATGGAAAGCTACTTCCAAAATATTGCCAAGCAAGTTCAATAACTTATTCATGTATCCCTAGGAATTTTAAAAAAAACCTTACTTGAAGGTGCACATGCGCATATACATTCACAAATATTTTCTAATTGTCTTGTGAAAGAAGCACATTTGAGCATATAATCAATACTGTTAGTTAGTTATCCAGAGTACAATTATAATTCATATTAACCAAGTACCAGCCAATTAATTAGCCAAACTACTGTTGCTAGAAAATAACTTTGTTTTTGTTTCTTTTTTTGTGGGGGCTTAGACCAACACATATAAGTGAAAATATATAATCTGCATACTTTTCAGGCTTTTGTGTTTCATGCTTTTAAGCACATTGTTTTGTTAAATTTGCATGTGGGGGCAGTAGTGAAACATTCTAACAAGTTAAGGCATGCAAACATTCTTTTAAGAAGTAAAAAAAAAATCAACATCCTGTTTAAAACATTCTGCCCAATCTTGACATTTGTCAAATGTAAATGTTTGACTCCCGGGATTTCCACAATGCCTATGCTAACTAGAAGACTCTATGTTCATTTTATCAAATTTTGTTATGCATATTTTTTAATCTGTACAGATAATCCTCAATTCACAACAGTTCATTAAAGTTACAACAGCACTGAAAAAGTGACTTATGACCGTTTTTCACATTTATGACCTTTGCAGCCTCCCTATGGCCACCTGATTTACATTTGAATGCTTGACAACTGGTTCATATTTATGACCCTTGCTGTACCCCAAGGTCATGTGATCATCTTTTGTGACACGCAGAGTCAATGGGGAACCGAGATTCACTTAACAACCTATTACTAACTTAGCAACTGCAGGGATTCACTTAACAAATGTGGCAAGGAAAGTCACAAAATGGGGCAAAACTCACCTAACAAACTTGTCACTTAGCAACATAGTTTCTTGGCTCAACTGTGGTCATAAGAGGAGGGCCACCTGTAATTGATACAAACACCTGGCTGAACCTAAGCCAGCCTCTGTCTGATTAGTCCCTGGATGGAAAATTGCTAAAGAATTCCTCAACTTCCATGATGATGGGTGTCATGGATAGAATTAGATTTGGATGACAACACTTGCGTTCAAATACAGACTCAGTAATGCAGTTTACTCTGTAACAGTGGGCTAGTTACTAATTTACCGAATGTATTTCGTAAAGTTGCTGTGAGGTCTGAGATTGGATTTAAATGTGGGGAAAAAAGAGCCTGGATAATATCAGCCATATAACATTGCCATGTAAATGAAATATATATATATAATAATTTTCAATCAGAAAGCCTCAATCTCATATTTTTCAATAAGCTTTTTTCCATGATCTAATATACAAATGCAGAGGTAGTAAAGTGCTCTTCTGGTGCAAACTTGGATGAAATACATTGAAGTCAGCTTTTTGTATTTTATGTAAATAATCTTCAATAGCAACCTGGAAAGAAAGAGGATATAATAATCATTATTATATATCAACAATACATTAAATATACTATAAACAATTTAGTTATAGTTTATAGTTATAGTTTATTGGTCTTGTATGCTGCCCACTCCCGAAGGACTCTGGGCGGCTTACAATAAAAAGGGGAAGGGGATAAATAGACAAAACAACAATTTAAAACAATTTAAAATACACAACATTCATGGTTACCGTGGGGCTGGACGGTTCAATTCATAACAATGAATTATATAAACAATAATTGTTATTAGTGCTATAAAGTGCCAATGTATTAATGGTAAATGGAACACTGATTTATAGGACACCCTGTCATGCTAGTAGAATATGAAATTCATATTTAATTTTCAGATAGAAACTTTACATTTCACTCTGCACAGTGGAAAGTGTTACTCTCACAAACACAAACTGGCTACAGTTCTCGACTTACAACCACAATTGAGCCCGAAATTGTTGTTGCTAAGTGAAACATTTGTTAAATGATTTTGTCTCATTTTACAACTTTTCCTGCCAGTTGTTAAATGAATCATTGCAGTTGTTAAATTAGTAACACAGTTGTTAAGTGAATCTAGCTTCCCCATTGACTTTGCTTGTCAGGTCACAAAAAGTGACCACATGACCCCGAAACACTGCAATCGTCATAAATATGAGTCAGTTGCCAAGCGTCTGATTGTGTGACCACGGAGATGCTGTAATGGCTGTAAGTGTAAAAATGATCCGAGTCCCTTTTTTCAGTTATGACTTTGAACAGTCACGAAATGAACTATTATTAAGTTGAGGACTACCTGAATTAAGTTTCTGATACATTTAACACTGTTATTTTACTTGGGAAGAAAAGTCCAACCTTCCTTCTTAATGAGAAGCCAGATGGCAAAATTTGAACATATCTACCGTATTTTTCGGAGTATAAGACATACCAAGATCTTGAAGAGGCAAATTTTAAAAGACGTTTTTGCACTCTTCAGACCTCCCAAAAATGGCCCGTTTCTCGTGAAAACGGGCATGTGTTTTGTCAAAAAATGGGCATGAATAGCCTTTAGGAGGCTTGCAGTGCTCCTGGGGGCTGGGGAGGGGGAAAATGAGCAAAAAACGGCCTATTTTTCACTCATTTTTACCCTCCCCAGCCCCCAGGAGCACTCTGGAAGCCTCCCAAAGGCTATGCATGGCCATTTTTGCAAAGGGGGCGGGGTTTCAAGAGGCCAAAAATGCTTTATTGAGTGTATAAGACGCACCCAAATTTTCACCCTCTTTTTTGAGGAGAAAAGGTGTGTCTTATACTCTGAAAAATATGGTATATGCCTGCCACACCACCACGTTCCTTGTAACCGTTGGAGGCCCCCCCAAAAAATAGTTTTGGAAAAGGATTCCCATCTCAACTTTAGACAATTTGTTCCACCAAAAGAAACCACAACAATATTGACTGTACTTTTTTTTTAAAAAAAAATCCAATCTACATCATGCTTGTGTTAACACATCGTTAATTATATTTAAATGACACGGTGTTTACCAGAACACTTGATTAAATCAAATGTTACTAAAGAAAAGCCAAAGGGAATAGGTGAATAAGCAAGACTACCTGAAAATATGGCTAGATATTTGTCATAAGACTTTGAAGTTCATAGTCTCAGAATGGTCTTTGGACGCTGAATGCCATTATCACATTTTTTTGTGAATTAAACAAAAAAGGAATACAGCCACTAACCGTACAAAGAAAGGCAGGAAATGCTTTGGCAGGGACATTCTTCTTGAAGGACCTGGCCTGGAAAGAGGCAGACAAAAGGATGCATTAAAAATTAAGGAATGTGTCAAGTTGAGACGCTTTCTCATGAATTAAGATTCTGGGATGAAATGGTAAATTATTATTCTACTAAAGAAAGAAAAGAGTTAACTGGGCACCTTCATACACACTTCAAAGCTAAGACAAAGTGGGAAGCAGATGTGAATAGAAAGAGTTGGTAGTTAGATTTTAAAAAGGAGAAAGAAAAGCAGATAAATAGAGGAAAGCACAGGGCATGACTTACCATATTTTTCGGAGTATAAGACGCATCTTTTTTCCTCAAAAAAGAGGCTGAAAATCTGGGTGCGTCTTATACACTGAATACAGCATTTTTTGCCTCCCGAAGCCCCGCCCCTTCACCAAAATGGCTGTGCACAGCCTTACTGAGGCTTTCAGAGAGCTCCTGGGGGCAGGGGAGGGCAGAAATGAGCAAAAAATGGGCCGTTTTTGTTCAATTTTGCCCCCCCCCTCGCCCCCAGGAGCACTCTATAAGCCTCCATAAGAGTATGCATGCAATTTTGTTTTTCAAAAAACGGAGCGGTTTTTGCTCATTTTTGCCCCCTCCACCCCCCAGGAGCACTCTGCAAGTCCCCCTAAAGCTATTCATGCATATATATTTTTTGGGGGGAAACAGGCTCATTTTCGCAAAAAACAGGCCGTTTTTGGGAGGTTTGCAGAGTGCAAAAACTTTTTTTTTCTTCTTTCGGAAAGCTCTTTAACTGATTGATGAGAATTACATTGATCAAGTGCTGTGCCAGCAGAAACAAAGTCTTTGGTGCTGCAGATAGTCAGCAATTTCTTTCTCCAGCACATGGATAAATACACCTGGAAACATCTACCTACCTACCTACATTTTTAAATTTGTCTCTTCAAAACCTTGGTGCGTATTATACTCCGGTGCGTATTATACTCCGAAAACTACGGTGTTTCTAATGCTGATGGAAAAGATGACTTTAAAAAATGATTATATTTTCATACGTTATAGTTAGATAAAATTGTAATTGTTTGTAAAAAAACTGGCTGTCTGGGTGAATGAGAGATGCTGTATAACTGGGCCTGTCCCATATGCCTTAACCCTACATGAAAAATATCTTATCAAGAGAAAACTCTTTTTTAAGAAATGTCAGCATTTGGAAAATTTACAGGTGGTGCTTGACTTATGGCCTTTCATTTTAAGTTATGATGTCACTGAAAAAATGACATGACCGGTTCTCAGACTTATGACCATCACCGTGTCCCCACAGTCATGTGGTCAAAATTCAAGTGCTTGGCAACAAGCATGTATTCATGAAAGTTGTAAGAGTCATAATGTAGTCACTTGCGATCCAAGGGGAGTTCTGACAAGCGAAGCCAACAGGCCAAGTCGATTGGTTACCAACATGATTCACTTAATGACCGTGGCAAAAAAGTCATAAAATTAGATGCAACTCACTTAACAACCCATTGCTTGGCAACAGAATTTCTGATCATACATTGAAGGCTATGGGTATTGCATTGAGTATCGGAAATCTGGGTTAGCTACAAGCTTCATAATTTCTGATATATTGCAAATCAGAAGGATGTTTTTTTTGAAAGACAAGATGAGAGCATTAGATTATGAAAAAAAAGATAACAGCGTTTCGTTGAGACACATCCTCCTACAATTTTGTCTGGTAATTGCCTCTGACTACAAGAGACATGATCACGAAAATCCTTCTTTCCTTCCTCTCTTACTTGTGAATCGTATCTTTTCACTTCCCTATCAAAAGCAACCCTCTTCACTATTAGCATAGCTGGCAAATCAGGGATTTGCTACGTGACGGGTCATCGACAGGGCTATTTCATTCCAATTTGTGATATATATATCAGCAGAAAATCTGGGCTGAAGCTTCCTACTCCAAGTTTAACTTTGAACTGATGATGACCGAAAGGTTTTCCTTCTTTTCAAGTTGGTTTCACTTCCCAAAGCACAAAGACGTTTCGCAACTTTAATGCCACCCGCAGAAAGGAAGCCTACTTCTGCTCTTACTCAGAGTTTTGCTCCTGTTAATTTCCTCACTTTCTCGTTCCCTTTGCGCAACCTGGAAGCATCCCCACAGCTTTAATTTTTTTTTTATTCTAATGAATCAACAGAGCCACACAAACCAAAGTCATTGCAGTAATTCTGCTCTGCTTTCTTCTCTTTTCCAGTTAAGCTAGAAGTCAGAAAGTATGTACTACTTTTTAGAACTGCAGAGATTATTTCTATGCAAACCGCATGATCCACTTAACAACTGTAGTGATTTGTTGAAGAATTGTGGCAAAAAAGTCGTAAAAAGAAGCAGAACTAATTTAACAATTGTCCTGCTTAGCAATGGAAATTTGGGGCTCAATTGTAGTCATAAACTGAGGACTATCGGTACGGATAATCCTAAATTTATGCTGAGTGATTGATCCAATTTTATAGCATTTTCTTGAGGTAGTTGTTAAGTGAACACAGCAATCACAGGAGCATATGGCCGTAAATGCTGGCTGGTTGCCAAGCAACCAAAATGCAGTTATGTAACAGGGGGAGTAGTCATCAGAACCAGGCCATAACAAGCTCGGGGAGAGCGTCCTTTATAACTTCAAATGGTTGCTAAGTGTGCAACTTAAGTCAAGTCCTACCTGTATGTCTCAAGGTCCTGCTTTTGAGCAACTGAGAAATGAAATATTGGATCAAAATGAATCTTTCCTGATCTACAGAGTTCTTATGCTGTCTATCACCAGAGAGACAAACACCCCACCCCCACATTTGCAATATTAAATTAGGCGTGGAAGGCAGAGAAGAGGAGAAAGAAAAAACAAAATTAGCAGGAATCATATTTATCAAGGCTACAAACAGTTTTGACATCATGACATGGAAATAATTTATATAAGCTTAAAAGCAGATGGATATCGCCCTCTGTTGGCCATTGAAGAATATGCTCCTAACAACTGCTTGTAACTACAGTAGTTGCAACATTTATTTACATTTAACTTTCCTTTATACAAATCAGTAATTGCACATCTAATTCATACTCTCTCCATATTAGTTTGCATGCTTTCTTCTAAAGTCTATGTGAAATCTAAACACACCACACATGTTCCCAAATGTAAACAGGTTTTATAAATGCTATTTCCCAAATAATCATCTTTGCCTGTATTTTCCCCAATATATGCATCTGCTACACAGTTTCTCTAATGTACACTTTTTCACTGGAGGATCAAATTGCAGCTTTGCAGCAATGGGTAAGGATTTGTCCTACAGCATTAAAAATGAAATCTTTGTATGGCAGAACTCCCATCAAAGAGGGGACAAAGTAAACAAAAAAAATACTGTCAATATTATTTCTAACGGTCTGGACAGGAAACACTCATTCCAAAGAACCAGTATCACAAAACTCTAAACACTAATATTTATTTTTAAAAAGTCTAAAGTTACATCTCAAAAATTCCAGTATCCAGCTTTATTTTCAAACAAGGCACAAATATACAGACAATTAATAGTAACAAAACTTGTCTTTTTTCTCCTGTCCAACCAGAGGAAACCAGTTCTTTTTTAAATTTGGGGTTCTTGGCATCTATTCATTTGTACAACATAAGTTACCCAAGTTCCACTATGGTTTACATCAACCTTCCCCAATATGGTAAGTGTATTACCAGCCAATATGTCCACTATTCATTGCTGGAGAGGAATTCTGTCCTCACGTATTTGGAAAACGCTAGTCTACAATGTTGTTAAATGAAATTTTGATAAAATCCAGAAACTCACGTGTTCCAGATGAACATGGGCTTGACTTGCAATGTCATACAAAACATCTCTTATTTTCTTCGCCTCCTTGTTTCTTATGAAATCCTCTTGAGAAACCCCATGCTGACATACATGGAAGGAAAACAAGAAGAAATTTTGAATGTTCCTGGGAAATAACACTATTACCTTGAAGCTGTATTACATGGATAGTAGACATGTTATATACTATATAACTGTGATGGCGAACTTATGGCCGGAGGTAGCATGCACAGCCCCCTTCATGGGAGGGCAAAGCTCCCAAAGACCGGCCAGCTGGTCTTTGCAGCCTGAAAACAGGCCAAAAATGGCCAAAAAACAGGGCATTTTCTGGGCCTTTTTCCAGGCTGTTTTCGGACCGAAAACAACCTGAAAATGTCCCGAAAAATGCCTCATAACAGCCAAAAACCAGGTCATTTTCCAGACCGTTTTCCGGCCCAAAACAACTGCCAGAAACCGGCCAAAAAAACTTCCTGAAAGTAGCCAAAAAATGGCCAAAAAAAGGACATGTGCACGCCTGCCAGTTGGGTCTTTAGGTTTCCAGTGCTCCGGCACACAGGAAGACTAGCTGGCTGGGGCGCATGCGTCTGCCGGAAACCCGAACACCAGCTGCCTGGCACATACATGTGCACCAGCCAGCTAGTCTTTGGGTTTCCGGCACTCCAGTGTGCACGGGCATGCACACAGATACATGCACATTCCAGTTTGGGATGCCAGTGTAGAAAAGGTTTGCCATCACTACTATATAATGGGATATCTTTTGAAGTCCTACGGATAGTTCAGAAAGTGTAATCTTATGTTTATCTCAACAGAAAATTCCACAGTAATTTTCCCTCATAAAATAACAGTTCTAATTTGCTCCATTACGTGAAATTGCTAATAAAGGACATAAATAAAAGCTAAAGTTTAGGTACTCTTGCTCCTCCTTATACTGATTGCACACTTGGGTAATAGTCATGCAGCTTCCAATACCATTTTTGGAGCCTCCTCACATTATGAGAGATATAATCTGAATATAGGTGTGCTAATTCTGTATATTTCAACAATACCCAATTTCTCTCTCACACACACACACACACACTCACACACACACACACAAATGGCTAAAAGTTTTGGCCTTGAGTGTAGTTACCATGTCACTGCCAAATACCTTCTGATCTTCAGCAACTGCATACAGATGACCCTCACTTAATGGCCATTCATTTAGCGACTGTTTGAATTTATGTCAGTACTGAACAAATGATAACTATTAAGCTTGGTTCGCAAAGTTGTACCCACTGTAGCACACCCAAACCATATGTTACTTGGCAATCCACCTGTACTTACAACCATAGGGGTGCTTCAAGACCCCTCACCCGTTTTCTCTCCCCACAGACCTGCTCTCTTGGCTACCCTGCACTCCACTGGCCCTGTCATCCCTTCTGGCCTTCCTCCCACTGCCAATGAGGTGTGCCCTGTCCGGCAACTGTTGGTTTCTTCACAAGGCCACAATGTCCAAATCCCATACAGCCTTCTTGTGGGCCTTTGGAAGGCAGAGCTCATGGCAGCAGGACGAGTGAACAGGGCTGGCAGAAGTGGCAGAGTGTCAAGTGGCAAAAAGGTCAGAGAGGTGGAGGAGATATGCAGGTGGGGGGGAATTGAAGAGGAGGTAGAGGAGATGGTCACTTATTTTACCAAGGCTTAGGTCTGGGAGGAACAAACCTGGGAATGGTTTGGACTGGGGTGGATCCTGTCAGAGTATGAGAGTTCACGACTTGGCAGAAACACGGTAACAAGGTCAGCAACTGAAACAGTCAATGAGGGCTGTTTGGAAACTGAAACATTATTTGCTATGTGAGCAACCAGGAGACAGCAAGGAGTTTGGGCGTGGCTTAGCTCTACCTCTGAGTCTGTGCTGAGCTCTAAACTAGTCTGCTGCTCAAAACTGAAACTGTTCTCTCTTCGGCTTGTGTTTGCTTGTATTTACTACCACGTTAGAAAACCTGCTTTTGATATTGTATATTTACTTCATGTGTTATACTATATATAAAGGGAAGTTAATAAATCCTGCTGAATCAGTTTTTCTGGATGTGATTGCTGCAACAAACTCTGACAGATCCTCACCTAATGATCAGGTGGGATCTAATTAACAATGGCAATGGAGAGTGCCAGGATTACCGTCACTAAGCAATGCAGTTATATTTTGTCATGCTTTAGAACTGCATTGCTTAGCAACAAAATTCTAATCCCAGTTATTGTTGTTTAACCAAGGACTACCTAAATGCATAAAAATAAATGAAGTTTTTAAGCTTGTAAGCAGAAAAAACACGTACACATCATTTTTTGATACAGAGGTCAACAAATGAACTGGAATGTTGCGGCAAGGTTTTTAGGCATATATCAGGACAATAACAATAAGGTGTTTTAAATATTAGATTTCAAATGTTCCAATAATTTCCCGCCTAGTAATCTTACTCCCAAAACAAAATATGTCATAACGTACAAGCACTTCCAATGAAGGACCAATTCTCAAATCCTATTAAAAATAGAAATGATACACAACTGTCAACAGAATTTGCTGATCTATCAACATGACATCAAGTGTATGAATATTGTTACAAATTGGATCTCAGCTTTACTGTCTTACCAGCATGCAAATATCCATGGGGAGAAACACCTTCCTTCTGCTAGCATGATATGGAGTTGCCCTTAAACAGGTTACAATGCCTTGTGCCTTCCCTATGTGACTGGCTGCATGGTCTGCATGGATGTCCCTCACACCTGTAAAGACAGAAAAGTGAAGCCTAAAGGATGCTTATTGAAATGGCAAGGCAACAAAATCACATCAGAACTGACAGGTAAGACATTGTTTAAAGAACAATATAAAAATGCAAACAGTTTACTTGGATTTCCCACATTTGTCGGATGATTAGAAACAGAACTTCATATTATTGGGGAGTGGGAAAAAGAAAACCTCTACCTTTTACTGGCCAACTGTAATCTCAGCTGAACATGTGATAATTGCATTTATTAACATAGTTTACACTATAAGAAAATGCAATCACATAGGTAGGTCATAAGCAAAAACCTACGATTTACTATATAGCTTACTAAAACTATAGATTTACAACCATTCATTTAGCGACTGTTACAACGCGGTGTTAACTAATGACTATTTTTCATACTTACGACCAATGCAGCACTTCCATCACCAAGTGATCAAAATTCGGGCACTTAACAAATGATTTATGACAGTTGCAGTATAGCAGGGTCATGGGATCAGCTTTTTGCGACCTTCTGAACAAGCAAAATCAATGGGGAAGCCAGATTCACATGTTACTTCGCTTAACAACTGTGGGAAGGAAGGTTGTAAAACTGGGGCAAAGCTCACTTAACTTGGTTGGCAACAGAAATGTTGGGCTCAATTGTGGTCACAAATCAAAGACTGCCTGCATTGGTACACCCACCCACGTGGCAAGTGCCAGAGGAATCAAGAGTGCACCTACCAAGTGTTTCTAGGGTGAGATAAAGGAGTGAGCTCTGTGTATTTTCAGCATATGTCTCAAGTTCACTGATATCCCGATAAGCTCGGTCATCCAGATTCTTTTCCTGTGCATTTCAAAACAAAGGGGGGAAGTATATATTAAACCACCAATCACCGAGGTTAACTTAAGAAATAGAAGGATGTCACTTTTATTCAAAGAAAAGCATCATCTTCTGAATTAGGGACATGTAGATTATTCTTCCTCCTAAACTAAGCAACTGTCTTGTTTCCTTTGTTTAAAAAAGAGAGGAGAAAAATAGGGAA